GAAATCGGCTACATGGCCCTTGGTTGCAAGCAACAACGCGTGAACGAAATGCACCCGCACGTTCGGGATGGGGGCGCATTAACAAAATACCCCCAACGTTCCATGGCAATACATGTTTGAGCAAACGAGCCCTGAGAAGCCCACCGGGCCTACGAGTCCTACGGACCCCGCGAGCCCCACGAGCCCTGTGACTTTACGGGCCCTACAGGCCCCGCGAGTCCTTCGGGCCCGAAAAAACCTTACGAGCCATACTAGCCCTAAAAGCCATACGAGCCCCATGAGCCCCTGAGCCTTGAAGGCCCTGACCCTACGGGTCGCACGAACCCTACGGGCCGCACGCGCCCTATGAACCATTTGGGCCCCGCGGGCCGTACAAGCCCCATGAACCTTACGAGCCCCACGGGCCCTCTGAACCGAATGGATCCTGCAGCTCCTACGAACCGACGAACCTTGGGGGCCAGGGAGCCCTACGACCCCCCAAGGGGCCCCACGCACGGGCGCTACGAGCCCAACGGGCCCAACGAGCCCCATAGGCTGTGCGAGCTCTGATGTCCCGACGAGCCCCACAAGCCCCATGAACCCTACGAGCCCCACGGGCTTGACAACCCCGACGCACCTATGAAGTCCACGTGCCCTGCGAGCCGTGGTGCAAGCCATGTGGCGCAAACTTTGCGGTGCAAGCTACGTGGCGCAACATGCATCCTGCAGGCTCTGTGGCGCAAGATGCGTAGCATACTCAATGTACTCAGCGAGAGCCTCTCAGTGCAAACGTTCCCTGATTGGTACTTCGGCATACGCGGCTGGATTCCGCTGTTCGCTTCCTTGGAACATTGGCCAAGCAGGCGCCGACCGAACGGCAACGAGGCGGCACGGGCGGCAGCGTGGCGAAACGTCGGCGGACGCACCTGGCGCATGAGGCCGCAATGGCACGGCAACGACGCGGCATTGGCGTCGGCGTGGCCGAAGTTTGGCGGACCCAGCCAAACACGGCGCGGGCGGCGACGTGGCGAAACATCGGCGGACCCACCCAGCGCATCATGCGGCAACGAGGCAACCCGTCAAACGCACGACGCGGTAAAGAGGCGGCAGTGCGGCAACGCTGGCGGCGACGTGGCGGATCTTCGGCGGACCCACCCAACGACGCATAAACCGGCAACGAGACCGCGACCAGAGGAGCGGGCGAGAACGCGGCGAAACCTCTTCGAGCCATCCAAACCCTGAGAAAGCAAAGTACGAACCCCTAAATGCACGCACTGCCTGCAGAAAGAAACCGTTAGGCGTCACCCTCTCCTCCTCCTCTCCTCAATTCCCCCCCATTGGCCAAAAACCCCCTCCTCGACCAACGCCCGCACGTTCCTGCCTCCCCCCCCCCGCTTCCCATGCGCGGCGCATGTTGAACCCGACCTGGGAAGAGCCAGCAATTGTTTACACCAAGTGTTTCCTGATTTCTCGATTGGCCCCCCCCTGCGACCCCACTTGTGCAACCCCCGCACTCGTTCTCAAACGAGAATATGATGTTGCGTCCGAGGCGGCCTGAACAACACGGTGAAGCTTGCGCCATCGTTGGCACTACGTGCCGCCACGCGCGTGCTCCCACGACTGGGGCCCGACGTTATTCGATAGTTTGAGTTTCTTCGCCTGCGTATTATCCTTAGCTTTTTTGCGGGCTACCTCGTAGGAGTCTTCAAGGTAATCCTTGCGCACCTTCGCCATTTCCTGCATGACCTTCGCCCCCAGCGATTTGGCGGCGCCCGAGGGGGAGCGCACATCCTCAAGCTGGTCGAGGATGCGAACGACGTAGCCTTTGAAGTGCTTCGGTCGGTGGATCAGGTCAGTGGCCTTGGGCCGCTGGCCAGCCGCGAAAGAGCCAGAAACAGGGACGGAATGCGAGCCAGGCAAATCGAATGTACACGCCTTCTCGTTGTATGCGTTCATGAAGTCCGTGCCGGTCGCTATCTGGTAAACCGGCGGGGCGTTGACTTTGGCATTGGTCTTGATGCGCGTGACCTCTTTGACCAGCTGTGATTCCCCGTTGATAAAACACGCTTCCCAAACTCAGTGCGCCTGCGGCAGCATCGAAGAAACAACTTCTGTTGACGTTCTTCGGCAAATCCCCATGGTCGTTGTGGAGGTTGGTGAGCATTTTCCAATGACGTTCGCGGTCGGACATCGATTCTGGGCGTTTTTGCGTGAGTGGGTGCGCGTCCAAGCCGATGAGTTCCGAGAGGGAAGTAAGTTGTTTCATGGTGCTCTGCACGTCCTCCTCGTTCAGATACGAAGAAGCCACCGACCAGTCGATGAAGAATGTTTCGTCCGTATTTGCATTCGAGTTGCGCTTTGTCAGCGAGTGTGCGAAGGTGCCCTTCGCTTCGCTCCGCTTGCGTTGAATCAACAACTTATTAAGGGGGCCGACATGGTGATGGTCGGCCTGGCACTCGGTGACTGGTGTCATCAATTATTCGTGTGATGCTGTTCTCTCCCCGTCTTGCATGGATGCGGCAACTTCCGCGCGAACTCCGGATGCGCCCTGAACTGAAACGCGGTCGTCGTTGCCATCACACGGCGAGCCCGAAAGAGAGCGCCGAGCCTTCGAATCGCCGGCCAACAAAGCCTGGGACCCCAGTATACCAAAACTGGCGCTATGGCCCCGCTGGTCGCCAATGGAACCGCAATCGCTGATGCTGGACAACAAATTCCCACGCGCCCCTTCCCTGCCATCCGCCGCCCTTGCGCCCCAACGTTTCCCCCTTCCGCGCCGCGGCATGACCCCGTGGCCCCCGCCTCGCGCCCTTCTCCCCCGTCCTCCCCACCCCCCTTCTGAAAGTACTCTCCCTCGCAATTTCCGCACAATTGAAAAGTGCATGTCCCTCCCACCGAGGTCATGCATGTAAATACCAAGGGATCGAAACACGACCCCGGTGCGATATTCTTTGAACAAAACCGATCGCGCTGACGTCCGAACCTAGACAAACTTAGTGAATTGGATGCTTACATGCGCGGGACCTTCCGCTAGACGCCCCTCCCGCCACCAGGAAAAGACGATCGACTACTGACTGTGTTTCGGAATTGGAACTTGTTCCACCCAAACAAAGCCGGTGTCGGTGTTGGTGGCGATTTCTGGCTCAGCGATGAGAGCCAGTGTGATGCCAGTTCTCCGTCCGGAAAAAAACTTTCGCAACCCGGTTGAACGGCAAAGCGCGTTCGTGTTCTTCTTGCTGATCTTCTTGTTGGAGTCGTGTTTGGCTCAAGCTCCAGCGACTCAGTGGTGATGTGCTTATTCCCGCCACTGCTTCCGTAGATGTGCTGTTAAGCTGTGGCTAAAGTCAACTTGCTCAAAGAAGGCTTGGCCGGCTGGTGGAGGGCGCCCAGGGGGGCGCACGCGCGCAGCGGGCGGAGCGTTCCATTTTTCACGCGACCGAAGCCGAAACAGTTTGAAGTCAACGATATCTGGCGGCGGCGGGGCATCGATGTTGAGGCAACGCAAGGGTGTGACTAAATCAACTGATCCGCTCTTTGTCGATGGCAGGAACCCCCGACGATTTTCTCCTGGTGACGCCACCCGGATGCCACGAAGAGGCCCCGCAACGAGGGCTTGACGTTTGTTTTTTCGTTTGGTCATGTTTTCGAGGGACTTCGGGCTGGTCGTTCCGTTGGCATGATTGTTGCTGTTCCGTGCTTCATGTTTCATGATGTCATGGTGCCACCCTTGTTGTTCCATGACTCGCTATAGTTGCGATAGCGCCCGTGACCGGTCCCGCTCCCCCCTCCCCCACATGGTCACGTCACGATTCGCGCTGGCGCTTTCTGGCAATGGGCAACCCTTGAAGATTCCCAGACGGCGCCGGCGCGAATCGAGACTTGACTGGCTCCTCGCCCCTCCCTCCTGGCCACGTCCGTTATTGCTAGAGGATAAGCAAACGGTATGCTAGTGTTCCGCTACACTCTTTTAATCGCAAATCGGCTGGTTGTCGTTTCAGGACGTGATGGTCGGCATGAGCGTAGAGCGTGGAATCAAGAATTGCCAGACCGAGAATGCAGAAAAAAATCTGGGCCTTACAACATCTTTGGGTGCGCGCCTGTGCTGGTTTTCCGCGGTGACAATTATTTTTGTTTATTGTTGTCGTCCTCGCTCGCGACCCTCCTGCGACCCACCTGCAACCAACCCGCGACCCACCCGCGGCCCGTCCGCGAACCGCCTGCGACCCACCGCGACCCACCCGCGACCCGCCCGCGACCCTTTGACATAAGTATGGCGCCTGCGGCGGGCCATTTGTGTAACATGTACAGCTTCGGCGCGCAACTGTGGGGGTATCTGGGTGTGACTTGATCGCTTCGATCACTCCGCCGGTCCATATTGTCTCGCCGCTGTCGTTTGTCGGGGTGTTGTTGTCAATGCGGTGCCGTTGGGAGGCTGCCATTTTTCGGAAGCGGTGGGTGGTGGGTCAGAAGCCTCATGGCTGTTGGTTGAGTTCTCGTGGTTGGCCTCTCGGGGGCCTCTGGGAGGCAATGTTGAAGCCCCTTGGGGGCCGTGTTGGGACCTGTTGGGGCCTCTTGGGGGCCTCTTGGGGCTTCTTGGGGTGCCTCTTGGGGACCCCTTGGGGCCTCTTGGGGGCCTCACGGGGGCCTCTTGGGGCCTCCTGGGAGCCTCTTGGGGCCGAGGGCTCGAAATGTTCGTTCGGGTTCCCCGTCTGCCCCACTCTTGGCGCGCAACTCTGGGGCATCTGGGTGTTATTTCTTCTGGCAGCGAGGAGCTCTGTGTGGCTGCTCTGCGCCCACCTGGTCCTCAGGGTGGCCAAGCGATCAAGGGGCCATGCAAGGGTGAACAGGCGCTACTACTTTACAAGCACGGAGGCCCGAAATCAACAAACGACCGCGAGGGGGACATGGACGAGAGAGGCTAGAAGGCAGAAGTGGTGGATGATGGAAAAGGAGTTCAAGGGGAGGACGGAGAGGAAACTCAATTGGGAGGAGGAAGGAGGCACACGAGGAGGGAGCAGGCCTCAGTCCTCGTCCTGCGACGCGCTGCTGCTGGCCGTGCTGGATATTGTGCTGAGGCTGGCGCGATGATGGGCCGCGGCCGCCTGCCTCGACGACGTCGCGGCGGCGGTGGCCCGACGTGGAAGTCGCAACGACGTGAACCTGTGGTGGGCCGCGGCCGGCTCGCTGCTCCGGGGCCGAGCCGTGCTGGCGCTGGCGGCCGCGTCGTCGGCGTCCAGGTGCCGCATCTGGTCCCCGAGCTGCGCGCGCCGCAGAACCCCCCCGCTCTCCTCCACGGGGAGGAGGAGGAGGAGGAGGAGGAGGAGGAGGAGGAGGAGGAGGAGGAGGAGGAGGACGGGGGGTGGGGGGGGGAGATGGACGGGACGGGACGAGAACGGCTAGGCGAGAGCCGCCAACTTGCTGCACGGCTCAAGCCAGCAGAGTGAGCTTCGGGAAGACAGGCCTCCGTCGCGAGAGGGATCTGTGGGACGGCACGCATGCTGGCCCCTGTTCCCCTGCCGGAGATTGCGGGAGGAGAGGGAGGGGCCCGGGAGGGGAGGTGGGGGGAGGGCGGGACCTGGAAATTCGACCCCCAGACAGCTCCTGGAACGCGCTCTGACCGTGGCTTCGAAGCGTATCCAGCAGCGGCGGCGAGAGGGGGAGCCGTTCGAACCCTTCTGCCCTTTGCCAGAAGCTAGCTCACTCAGAGCGTGCACCCAGGATGAAGCGCCACCACCCCGCCTGCGGCCCCAAAGCACAGTAAGCATGGCAAGAGGGGATGGGGAAATAGGGAGAGGAGGGGGGAAACGTGAAGGCCCTGGAAGAGGGCAACGGGGCCCTCTGCAGTGATGATCGCGCACCCGATGGTTGCAAGGTCCGTCGCGTATCCGAATGTCTGGGCCACTCTCCCCCCCGCCCCCGCGTGCGAGGACAATTATCCTGGCGAAGGGCCCAACCATACGCAGTTGCGAGGAGTACCGTCGATGCGGGCATCGCCTTCGGGGGATCTCCTCATGGGGCCATGAAGCATGCGAACGGTGTGGCGATGTGGGGCGGGGCCGCCATGTGGGCCCCGCCGTGGGGCGGGGCCGCCACTGGGGCCTTCTGTGGAGCTCCCTGTGAGGCCACGAAACGTTTTACTGAGCGGGGGAGACGCATGCGAACATCGCCACAGGGGCCTTCGGTGGAGCTCCCTGTGGGGCCACGACGCGCTGTACTGGGTGGGGGAACCGCATGCGAACACCACCACTGAGGCCTTCGGTTGAGCTCCCTATAGGACCACAAAACATTGTACTGGGCGGGGGAACAGCATGCGAATATCGCCATAGGGGCCTTCGGTGGAGCTCCCTGTGAGGCCACGAAGCGCTGTACTGGGTGGGGGAACCGCATGCGGACACCACCACTGAGGCCTTCAGTTGAGTTCCCTATGGAGCCACAAAACATTGTACCGGGCGGGGGAACCGCATGCGAACATCGCCATCGGGGCCTTCGGTGAAGCTTCCTTTGGGGCCACGAAGCGCTGTACTGGACGGGGGAGACGCATGCGAACGCAACCATTGAGGCCTTCGGTGAAGCCGCTAATGGGGCCACGAGGCGCTGTACTGGGTGGGGGAACCGCATGCGGACACCGCCACTTGGGCCTTCGATGGGGCTCCCTATGGGGCCACGAAGCGCTGTACTGGGTGGGGGGACTGCATGAGGACATCACCAATGAGGCCTTCGGTGGAGCTCCCTGTGAGGCCACGAAGCGACGTACTGGGTGAGGGATGCGCATGCGGACACCGCCACTGCGGCCTTCGGCGGGGCTCCCTGTGGGGCCGCGAAGCGTTGTATTGGGTGGGGGAGCCGCATGCGGACACCGCCACTGAGTCCTTCAGTGGAGCTCCCGATGGGCCCACGAAGCGCTGTACGAGGTGGGGAAACCGCATGCGGACACCGCCACTGAGGCCACCGTTGGGGCTCCCTATGGGGCCACGAGGCGATGTACTGTTTGGGGGAGCCGCATGCGGTCACGGCACTGAGGCCTTCGGTGGAGCTCCCTATGGAGCCCCGATGCGTTGTACTGGTTGGGGTAACCGTATGCGGACACCGCCACTGGGGCCTTCGGTTGAGCCGCGAATGGGGCCACGAAGCGCTGTATTGGGTGGGGAAGCCGCATGCGAACATCGCCATAGGGGCCTTCGGTGGAGCTTCGCACGCGGACGCCGCCACTGATGCCTTCGGTGAAGCTTCCTTTGGGGTCACGACGTGTTGTATTGGGTGGGGGAACCGCACGCGGACACCGCCACTGATGCGTTCGGTGGAGCTTCCTTCGGGGCCACAGAACGCTGTAATCGGTGGGGGGACCGCACGCAGACACCGCCACTGGGGCCTTCGATGGAGCTCCCTACGGGGCCACGAAGCGCTGTACTGGGTGGGGGGGCCGCATGCGGACGCCGCCAATGAGGCCTTCGGTGGAGCCACGAAACGGTGTATTGGGTGGGGGAACCGCATGCGGACACCGCCACTGCGGCCTTCGGTGGGACTCTCTATGGGGCCACGGAGCGGTGTATTGGGTGGGGGAACCGCATGCGGACACCGCCACTGAGGCCCTCGGTAGAGCTCCCTGTGGGGCCAGAGAGCGGTCCCCTGTGTGGGGGAGGCGCACGCGGACACCGCCACTGATGCCTTCGGTTGAGCTCCGGGACGGGGGGGAGGCGGAGGAGCGAAAGGAGCGAGACGCGGGGCGCTATCTCTTCAAGACGGGGACCCAATACCATTGGATGGTTGGGAAAAGAACACGAGTGAATGCCAGCACGCAGCTTGCGCTGCACTTGTCAGCTCGCACATCCCTACCAGCGGGACGCTATTTGATTCAGTCTGCTGATGCCCTAAGATATGGGGCATTGCTCGCGCCTAGGTTGGTGGCAGGATGTGTCCAAGTGTTCGAGGAAGCTATCGCAAATATGTGGGATGTCGCGTTTGGGATGAGGCAGGGGAAAAGGAAGAAAGGAGGGGTGGGGAAGGAGGACGTCTCCCCGGACGCTTTGTTGCCGACCTGCCCGATCTTCACATTGTGAGCCACCCTCTTCCAGCCGCGGAAGAATATTTTCATGAGGCTGATGTGGCGATGGATCACCTCTTTGAACTCGCCCTGCAAGAACGCGACGTACGTCTCCTCGTACAGATCCTTCATCCGGTGCACCTCGACCACCTCAGGAGGACGCCAACTGTGCAGCTACACCGGTCCCACCGAGGCCACGCCTGGGCCCAGGGTTTGCGTATTTGCCCTCCTGGTTCGGGAGGCATACGTACACCGATCCTGAGGCCAGGATTCGCCTGGTGAAGATCGGCATTAAAGGTGTACGGCTGCCCCCCTCCTGTTACCTGCGGGCGCCTGTGCTGTTCCTTGATCTGCTCCAGGATGGAGAGGCTGGAGTTCGAGGTGATCTTCACCAGGGCCAACTTCACGAGCGCCGAACATGTCCACATCCTTGCCCTCCCGAACTGTATGTCGAAGCGCGGTCCCACTTCGGGGATCTAATGACCGGGGTCAATGCAAACCCGGGCCAGTCAGGCTGTGCAAGATGCAGCAAGATCCTGAACGCAAACCCAGGTTAATGCACCCTGGCTCTGCAGGATCCTGCAAGATCTGGCGCTCTGGCTGACCCCCGTTTCCATTGACCCCCGTCTCTTGAGCCGCGACCGCTGTCAAACGATCCCATGGATACGTTACGCGCTGGGCATCCACGCCCAATCGCTCTGAATTCATGGGGTCGCGGCCGAAGAGTATGGACCGAGAGGCCGTGGATATGGATATGTAGGCCGCTCACGACGCCTGCATGTCCACGTCGGCCATCCTGCTGCTCCAATCCGTTATCCGATCGTGGTAGGTCTGCTGCATCTCCCTGACGTGCCTGTAAAGAGCCTCCCTCCGCACGACCAGGGGCAGGAGCTCCTTGCCCCTGAAGGCCTGCACGAAGGTCGGGGCATCGCCCTGGTAGGAGGGTATCAAACTGCACCGTGGTGGTGGGCAAGGCTTGGCCTGACCCTTGTTCTCCGTTTCGCTTTGATTCCGTGTCCGTTCCCGTTTCCGTTTTGTCTTCGTTCCGCCTTTGTTACAAGACGAATAGGTGGCGACTCCCGAGCCCTACCCCCACCAACCATCGATTATCCTAAATCGATGGGAGGTGGAGGCACGGTTCGAAGTTCGCCACGTGTTCGACGAATTACGAACCCCACCACCCCCCGCGCATCGAGTTGCCTGAACCGTTGATCGGCGAGGGCAAACTTGGAATTTCGCCGCCGAACGGAATCCAAACATTAGCCTGGTGAGGGACCCCATCTGCAGCCGTGAGTGTCGCATCAGTGAGTATCGACTTCGGTGGAGCTCTCTATGGGGCCACGAAGCGCTGTACTGGGTGGGGGAGGCGCATGCGGACACCGCCACTGGGGCCTTCGGTGGAGCTCCCTCTGGGGCCACGAGGCGCTGTACTGGGTGAGGGCGGCGCATGCGAAGACCGCCGCTGAGGCCTGCGGTGGAGCTCTCCATGGGGCCGCCAAGCGCTTTACTGTTTGGGGTAGCCGCGTGCGAACACCGCCCCTGGGCCCTTCGGTGGAGCTTCCTATGGGGCCACGGAACGTGTCAAGGAGGGGGAGGATGAGGAGGGAGGGGAACGAAGAAGAGAGGAGAGGAGAGGAGAGGAGAGCAGACGCGGGGCGCTGTCTCTTCAGAACGGAGACCCAACACCACAATATTGCTGGGACAGAACGGCTCACGGCATCGCCAAAAGACCGATCCGCTCGAGCCCGGGCTGCGAGGGCGTCCGGGGGACGGGGCGCCACCCGCACCGATCTCCTGTGCAAGCTGGCCCCGTGCCCAGGAAGGGTCTTCCCAAGATCGGCGCAGGCGTGCAGTTGGCGCCCCACGACCTTCCAGGGCTCGCGGGGGAGGATCGAGGATCGAGGCTCGAGGCTCGAGGAGATCGAGGATCGAGGATCGAGCCTCGAGGATTCTCATCTCGAGCCTCGAGGAGCGGGGTGGCATCGAGGGAGAGGGGGAAGGGCCTGCCAAAAATCGGCGCAAGCGTACAGCTGGCGCCCTCTGTTTTGGATCGAGCCTCATGCGACAAGATGAAGGACGCTGCGCGCTTCGACCCCTGGGGGCTCATCCGAGCCAGATCACCTTTCGGTGCAACATCGAGCGAACATCGTCGACGATGGGACCGGAGACGGAGGCGGAGGCGGTGCAGCGTCGAGCGAGCATCGTCGACGATGGGTCGGGCCGGGCGAAAGGGGGGGTTAGCAAAGGGGGGGTTTGAGAACCAGCTCGCGTAGCTGATTTTCCCGGCGCCTCCCTGCGCCAGGAAACGACCATGCATCGAGGAATGGGCCTGGCGGCGGGGCCAAAACCAGCTGCATGCAGCAGATTTCGTAACCCCCCCTTTCCCTATCTCGGGAGCGGCCAAGAGGGGGGTGTCCAAGAGGGGGGGGGTGCAAATCATGACCGGCGGCATGTACGCGGCCCGGCGGGGGGGCCAGGGACGCAATGAAACAAGAAGAGGCGCTATGAAATCTGTGGAAATATCATGGCCCCAGCCATGATCTCCCCCCCCCCCCGAGTCATCCCCCCCCCCCCTTTTCCGCCCCCGACTATCCCACCCCTTCCGCCCGGCCCGAATGGGACCGGAGACGGAGGCCGTGCAGCGTCGAACGAGCATCGTCAGCGACGGGGCCTGGGCGGCGCAGTCCCTCGCCGGCGGGGTGCTCTGCGGTGGCGCCTCCTCCCTCGCCTCGCCCGCCGGGCTCGCCGGGCCTCCTCGCTGCAGGGCCGGCTGGCCGTGCGAGGGCTGCTTCCTCCTTGCGGAGGAGGGCTCGCAGCGAAAAGGCGCGGCAGCAGGAGCAGCTGACCACGTGAGCAGGAGAAGGAGGAGGAGGAGGAGGAGGAGGAGGAGGAGGAGGAGGAGGAGGAGAGGGCAACGAGCATTCAATGCTCAGTTCAGCCAGCGTCGACTCCTGAACAGTAGGTTCTTCCACTGTGGATGTGCAATACATGCCGCTCGCTCTGTACATTACGCAGTGGCGTAATGATGTAATCCCACCAGCTCTCTGGGCGTAGGTAGTTTAGGGAGTTTCCTCTTCCAACCTCCTTCTTCCCCTTCGGGGAGGGATTTACCCCTCCCCCTACCCCCTCCCCTGGACCTGGGCGGGGGGTTTCGCGACGCGTTGGAGCGTCCAAAACAGCCTCGGCGAAGAAGCCCAAATCATTGGTTTTACAAAGGTTTTGGCACCATTTTGGCCTCCTGAGGGAAAGACCCTCATTAGGGACCCCCTCCTGTGATCGATCTCACCCAAGATGGCCCAAAGATGGCCCCCAAGGCTCCCAAGGGTGCCCCAAGAGGGCCCCAAGAGGTGTCCAGGAAGCCCCAAGAGGCCCCCAGGATGCCCCCAAGAGGCTCCCAAGAGATCCCCAAGAGGCTCCAAGAGACCCCCCGGAGGCGCCCAAGATCCTCCAAGAGGCCTCGGCGAGAATGCCAAATCATTGATGTTACTAAGGTTTTAGCCACATGTTCAATATTGGCCTCTTGGGGGGGAGCACTGATTAAGATGACTCCAAGAGCACCTGGGAGAGCCCAAGATGACCTCCAAGATGGCTCAAGACATCCATGTCTCATAATGGCTCCCACGATGCTCCAAGATGCCTCAAGACCGCTCCAAGACGGCTCCGAGTGGCCAAAAAGCTCCCCCAGGAGGCGCCGAAAACCTTTCGGAAATCTATGCGTTTGGCTTTCTCGCCTTTTCGCTTCCGATGACCATCCGAGGCCTCAAGATGGCTCCAAGATGGCCCAAGAGGTGTCCAAGAGAGGATCAAGAGAGCCCCAAGAGCGCCCCACGAGGCGATTTGTTGGGCCCCCGAGGGGCAACGCTAACTAATGCTAGCTTCTTGTTTGATCGATGTCCTCCAAGATGGCCCCAAGAGCGCTCCCAAGGCTCCCAAGAGCGCTTCAAGAGGGCCCCAACAGGCGCCCAGGAGGCCTCCAAGAGGCTCCCAAGAGACCCCCAAGAGGCCCCAAGAAGCTCTCCGAGGCACTGGGGGACCCTTCTTCTGTGTGCTGCCCACTTCCCTGATCCAGCCAATTCCTCTGGGCATCGTTTCTGGATGGAAGCGTCTAGAATTTCGTGTATACGGGCCTGTCGACGTGGGGCTTTCTATGGGATGTAAGCATGGGATGCAATTAATATTAGCCGCATCCGCGCGTGACACCTCCGATGCTCGTGCAAACATCCCACCCGCCCACGCACAACTTGTTGGCAAGACTAAATTTCCTCACTGACGCAAGAGCACATCCCATGCACATCCATGACTCGGGAGGGCGAAATGGTGAGGGGATCACGGCATCGGTGGCGATGATGACGATGATGGTGTTGGTGCTGCTGATTATGATAGTGCTGATGAAAACTATGACGAAATGTACACGCAAACAAAACCTCACACACATCCCATCTCTTGCTTCCTCTTCGGGTCCGGTCTCATCACTGCTCCCTATCAACAGACTATCTCTCCCCTCAAACGAAAGGCAACCAACCGTGACCCATGCCAACGTCTTCGCACCATCCCTATCAAGCAAACAATTCAAAATACACTTCGCCACCAAATCTGGAACATGCGCGGGCGCGTGCGACCACTGCGTGGGTTTTTGACAAGTGGCGGGGGGTCGGCAACTATCCCAACCATCCTGTGGTGTTGTGTCCTCGTTTTGAAGAGACAGTCCCCGCGTTCCTCTCCTTCCTTCCTCCTCCCCATCCCCTTCCTCCTCCGATCCCTGCCTCTGCCCTCCGAACCAGTCAACCATTTTGGCACACCGCTGACATGTTTCGTGGCCCCATGGGGAAGCCCACCGAAGGCCCAAATGCCAGCGCTGGCATGCGGTCACCGCACCCATTTTGGCACATCCCTCACACGCTCCGTGGCCCCATGGGGAGCTTCACCGAAGGCCCAACTGCCAGCGTTCGCATGCGGTCACCGCGCACATTTTAGCACATCCCTCACACGCTCCGTGGCCCCATGGGAAGCCCCACCGAAGACCCAACTGCCAACGTTCGCATGCGGTCACCGCATTAATGTTGGCGCACCCCTCACACGCTCCGTGGCCCCATGGGGAGCCCCACCGAAGGCCCAACTGCCAGCGTTCGCATGCGGTCACCGCATTAATGATGGCGCACCCCTCACACGCTTCGCGGACCCATAGGGAGCCCCACCGAAAACCCAAATGCAAGCATTCGCATGTAGTCACCGCAACATTTTTGGCGCACCGCTCACAAGCTTCGTGGCCCCATAAAGGGCCCCACCGAAGGCCCAAATGCCAGCGTTCGCATGCGGTCACCGCGCACATTTTAGCACATCCCTCACACGCTTCGTGGCCCCATAGGGAACCCCACCGAAGGCCCAAATGCCAACGTTCGCATGCGGCCACCGCACCCATTTTGGCGCACCCCTTGTATGCTTCGGGGCCCCATGGGGAACCCCACCGAAGGCCCAAATGCCAACGTTCTCATGCGGTCACCGCACCCATTTTGACGCACCCGTTACACGCTTCGCGGCCCCATAAAGAACCCCACGTTCGCATGCGGTCACCGCACCAATGCTGGCACATCCCTCGCACGTTCCGTGGCCCCATATGGGGGCCCCACCGAAAGCCCAAATGCCAGCGTTCGCATGCGGTCACCGCACTCATTTTGGCGCACCCCTCACACGCTTCGTGGCCCCACAGGGAGCCCCACCGAAGGCCCAAATGCCAGCGCTGGCATGCGGTCACCGCACCAATTTTGGCACATCCCTCACACGCTTCGTGGCCCCATGGGGAGCCCCACCGAAGGCCCAAATGCCAGCGCTGGCATGCGGTCACCGCACCCATTTTGGCGCACCCCTCACACGCTTCGCGGCCCCATAAGGAGCCCCATCGAAGGCCCAAATGCCAGCGCTCGCATGCAGTCACCGCACCCATTTTGGCGCACCGCTCACACGTTTCGTGCCCCGTCGGGAGCCCCACCGAAGGCCAAATGCCAGCGTTCGCATGCGGTCACCGCGCACATTTTAGCACATCCCTCACACGCTTCGTGGCCCCATAGGGAGCCCCACCGAAGGCCCAAATGCCAGCGTTCGCATGCGGCCACCGCACTCATTTTGGCGCACCCCTCACACGCTTCGTGGCCCCACAAGGGGCCCGACCGAAAGCCTAACTGCCAGCGTTTGCATGCGGTCACTGCATTAATGTTGGCACACCCCTCACACGCGTCGTCGCTCCATAGGGAGGCCCGCCGAAAGCCCGAATGCCAGCGTTCGCAAGCAATTACCGCACCCTGTTTGGCGCACAACTCACATGTTTCGTGGCCTCATAGAGAGCCCCACCGAAGGCCCAAAAGCCAGCGTTCGCATGCGGTCGCCGCGCACATTTAAGCACATCACTCAAACGTCCCGTGGCCCCATAAGGAACCCACCGAAAACCTAATTGCCGCGCTCGCGTATGGTAGCCGAACCCATGTTGGCACATCCGTTACACGCTTCGTGGCCCCACAAGGAGCCCCACCGAACACCTAACTGCCAGCGTTCGCATGCGGCCACTGCGCACAGTTTGGCGCACCCCTTAAACTCTCGTGGTCCCATAAGAAACACCACCGAAGGCCCGAAGGCCAGCGTTAGTGGCGCAGACCGCATGGCGCCGCCGCCACATTTTGGCACACCCCTCACACGCTCCGTGGCTCCATAGGGAGCTCCACCGAAGGTCCCAGTGGCGCAGTCCGCATGGCGGCGCCGCCACACGGTGGCATACCACACGCACGTTTCGTGGCCCCAAAGGGACCTCCACCTTCGGCCCTGCGCATCGCTATGTGTTTAGAGAGCGTATTCCTTTGTCCGACGCCAACAGACTCAGTTACGTGGGCGGTTGAAAAGCAACTGCCTGACGAAACCAACCCGGCGCTGCTCAAGCAGCCGCCTCCAAGCCCCTGTGAGCAAGGGGCAACACTTGCCAGCAGAAGGGAATAGAAAGGGAGGGCAGGGAGGGACAACCGTTTTCAAGTTTTTGGGTTCGGGCTCCAAAAAGGCAGCAGCGGAACGGAGACACCCGATAAAACATTCACCAACACGCAGGCCCATGTGTTTAGAGAGCGTCTCCCAGTTTCCGATGCCAGCTGACTCAGTTATGTTAGCGGTTGAAAAATGCCTGACGAAACCAACCCGGCGCTGCTCAAGCAGCCGCCTCCAAGCCCAAGCCTACTTGCATAAATGAACCGGGGGGAGGGAGGGTCATAAAAACTTTAATCACCCCAGGGGCGGCAATGGAGCAAACCGAATTACAGGTGACAGAGTATGTGAGCGACCTCATTACATAATATGACAGGATATGCTGCATTTGTTCAGAGTGGGACGTACCATCGGCATCTTTCCCTGTACTTCCCGTGCGAGGGTCTGAGCCCAAGAGGTCCAACGCACAGTTCGTGTACAACAAACGGGTACGCTTACGATAACAAGATCCAAAAGCACAGTGGTCCCAATCGACGACCTTGTATTTTTCATCAACGATTGAAAGAGAGGGTGGAGCCACAACATGGAACCCTGGGCGTTCTCGATGATGACAGGCACTTTGTGAGCGGCAAGCCGAAGAAAGAGACTTGCGGCCCACTGGGCTTGGGAATTGCCCTACTGCACTTTGTTCTGGTCCTTCTCAAACAATCCGGGCAATCCCAAGATGCAATCGCGCGACCTGATCGGCCCTGGCCAACCGCCAGGGTGAGGATTGCGCCTTGCCCGAGACCACGAGGTGCACGCGAGGCCAATCCAGGCGAACTTGAGCCCTCGC